TTTTAAACATGTCCAACAATTTGACAGTTAAGCTGCTCATAGGCAGACGATAATTGATTATTTTCATCAGATTAGCATCATCTACCGTTTTGATTAACTCAGACAATTTTTGTCTAGGAAATGTAATAAAAGAGACAAAAATGCCTGTCCTCGTTATTTAAATAATATGAGCAAATTTCGCAAATTTCATTAAAAAAGGATGAATTTTTGAGTTCTCCACAGATTTGTACTTTTTTGCTCTTCATTGTTAAAACCTTTAAAAAATTAAACTTGCAAATAATTCCTTCTTTTCCTTTTTTATTTGTTCTGAACAGATGTAACATCTTGCAATCTTAGAAATGGTGGCTGTGACCATGTTTGTGCGGTGAATGCAGAGGGACAGGTCCAGTGTAACTGTCGAAAAGGCTGGAAGTTGGGCGGGGACCACCGGAGCTGCGTTGGTGAGATCCCTCACACTGGCATCATCACATTTTTAAAGACACTATGAGCTTTTATTTGATATGAAATGTGAATGTTAATTTTTGTACACATCTGCCCAGTTGGATGGGTTCTTTAATTTTAAGTATGCATTATGTTGCAAAAATGTTTAGCCTTGGCCATTTCTTAAAGTAAACATATAAGCATTCATCAGCACATACAACATTATTGCTCTGGTCCTTTAGATAATAACAGGGCGAACTGAAAAGGTATAAACAGCTGAAATAAACTTTTTAAATACATTTTACATTTGCCAGGCCTCGGTGTTAATACGATGAAATGCCATATGAGTTTGAATGTCTGCTGACAGCTGATTATTCTGAGCGCTTTAGCTGTGACAACTCCGTATCAGCGGTATCAGGTGGTCGATCAGCCGGAAAATAAAATGAATAGACTCTGGATTTTGTTTGTTTGGGTTTGTTAAAATGTACAAATGAAAACCTTTGAAAATCATAACTATCCTTCTGTTTTTTTGGTTATAAGATGTGAATGAGTGTGGGGACTTTACGAACGGAGGCTGTGAGCAGCTCTGTTTGAACCACCCAGGTGGATTCAACTGCACCTGCAGAGAAGGGTATCAAGTACAAACGGACGACCTCACAAAGTGCAAGCGTGAGTCAAACGTCAAACATGTCAGAGTCAATCATGTCCGAGTCAATCATGAAGCATGTAAGCAAAAGGACTTTATTAAGAGTCTATTAATTTGATTTGTTCCCTTTTTACCTCTCTGCCGTTCCAGCTGTGTGTGAGCCTCCCTGTCAAAACTATGGAGTGTGTGTGGCCCCAAACAGCTGTGACTGTCCTCCAGGTTACCCTGGACTCGGCTGCTTAGGTAAGAATATGGAATGCTGTATATGTTTATTATATGTATAGGTGTTAATTTCACAGCTTTTAGCCATTCAGTGGATACTTAAATAACTAAATCATACAGTAAGGGTAGCATTAGTCCCAAAACTAAAATTGACATAGTCACAATGTGCCATCATCACTCGATTGAGGACATAAACTAAGAGAGACAAAATACTATTAGCCATGGTTTAGAAACGTATAACTCTGTATGTCTTCAGCCTATAAGCTGCAATGCACTAAAGCTCATTGGTTATATCCAGTGTCCTGTTTACAGAGGCCCTTGAAGCAGCTGCCCAAAATTCACCCTCTCCCACCCTCGGCCTCATCAATCAATCTCTCATCCCTGTTTCTGACTCTATCCACTGTCCTGTCCACTCTATATAGGCCTGAAAACCCCCCAAAATAAACCAAACAAAATTGATTAAACTGATTAAAAAAAACATGGTCCAATCTATAATGCATTACTGGTTAAGGTATGATATTCAAAATAATTGCATTTCATGTATTTTTTACACAGCTGTGTTTACTGCAGATATAATATTTGGTTGCAGAAGACCACTGCATGCAAAAGGTCTTTCTAAAGCCCAGCAGATTTCATTTGTCTGTTATGTTGTTGGCAAAAATCATTGGTAACAATTCATATCCTTGTGAAAGATTGGGAATGGATTTACTTAAAAGTAAGTGCTGATTGTATGCCTATTTAGTTCTGTAAATGAAAAAATGTAACATTGCTGTGAAACATGGTTGTACTAAACCATGCTGGTTGTGTGTTTTTAGCCATGTGCTCCCGCCCTGTGCTCATGGAGGCACCTGTATGCGCTGGAACGAGTGCCTGTGTCCTCCTGGTTGGACCAGTGCTGGCTGCCACACAGGTATGTCACCTCTGACCAGGATGTCCCTGTAAAATGCCCCACTTCTGTACCATCACACACTGAAGAGACTGTGTCTATACACAAGAGGATATATATATATATATATATATATATATATATATTTTTTTTTTTTTTTATGTTGATCAAAAAAAAGTATGGTTGATACATCTTTTCCTATCATTTGTTATTTGTCTATTTCTGTGTGTGTCTTGCTCAGCGATGTGTGAGCTGCCCTGTGCTAACGGTGGGCGCTGTGTGGGGCCCAATACCTGCCAGTGTCCCTCTGATTACACCGGCCCCCAATGCCTCTTACGTGAGTGACACAAACCACCAATACATCTGGCATAGTTACACCAGACATGCAGAGACTTCTGTGTGGTAGGCTGGTAGCTAATCATTTCTACCCCTCCCCCCCCCCCCCCCCGAGTAGTGCCTGGTAAGAATTAGGTTGTACTGAAAGTTTATAGATAAACAAAAAGGAAGAACTAAGATTATGCTGTTTAGTTTACTCCCATGTTCCTGCAGAGAATGACTTCTATCTGGTTGTTTTTGCAGCCCTGTGCACTCCTGCCTGTCTGAACGGGGGAAGATGTGTAGATGTCAACCAATGCATATGTATTGGTGGATGGCAAGGCGCTCGGTGTCAGAGAGGTAAGATTACACCCACTGCATTCATAGCTAGCTATAGATACTGAAATAAAAAAATCCTTTTTACATACAGGAGTTACGATAAACTCACATTTTAGAGGTCTAATATGTTAGATATTTAGTGAATTAAATAATAAGAATAGACTGAAAGGAAAGTGCTGGCTTCTCTGGCAACAACGAAGCAGCCAGCATGTCCTAAGTTTCCACGAAGGTGCGGAATGGTTAGATTTGTTTTGACCAGATAGGTAGACGGCACCCCTACACGGCAGTATTGCCCCTCGTCCCTCAGTTTGCCTGGCGAATGGCAAACCAACAGGTGTTGCAGCGATGATAAGGACAGATGCTTTAGAGAAGAAACTTGGCGCTACATTTGTTCTTTTATTTCATGAGCTTTGAGGCTTTTTAAACAAAGCCGGATTTTGGTTGTTTCCTACTTTTGATGCTGCATACTCACTTATTCCTGCTTCTTGTATATTTTATGCATGTTATGAGTGAAAGATGACAATGGCATGTATGTTCCGTGTATTAACCTTTGAGAGGTAAGTATTATTATTGGCTTCTGACAGCAGTTTCCCTTTTGGAAACAACCTTTACAGTAAACATCAAATGGACCCTCATTGACCCATAATCACGTGAAAATAAAAACTGTACACCATAAACACAATGTCCATTTTATGGCAGTAAATCCAATCCAAAAAACAAGTTCTATCAAACATTTACACATTTTTATTATACTCTTATTTCTCCTGTGGGGAATACTTCAGATACTTACTTGTTTTTCTTCATGTCCTCTATAACCCTGAAGCTGAAACAGTCTCAGAGGAGGAAATTCCTGCCCAGTTAATCTGTAACATTTATTGTTTGTCAAACTTAATCTGAAGGCTTCTAGAGATTATCAGATTGGAATTAATGTATGAAGCAGTAATTACCAAAAAATACATATTGAGGCTTTAGAATGGAGATTTTAAATAATCTTTGATCAAAGAGAATTGTTGAACTCTTGCTCAACAGGCCGTTTACTATACAAACCAAGCACAGTCCAGCTGCAGTCCAGATTAAATACTGATGACCCAGTTTAAATGTGTGTTTTTCATTCCAGTTTCAAGCGTTCAGGCGGCAATAACCCCTGGAGAGACTCTATGTCTATGAGGGTTGTGTGTCAATGAATATGTCCTCTTTCTCTACCATTCTTGTAAATATGACATCAAAGGATAGGATAATATGCCCCTAAAAAGGCCTGTTACACTTTCATTCTGCAAAAAAAAAAGATGGATTCAATTGATCAGTTAAAAGGGGGCCTTCAGCTGCCAGGGGTCAAAATTTTATTTTTTTATGTCTCCAACAGAGCCTGTTGTGTGTCACAAACCTTGTAAGAATGGTGGAGTTTGTGTGGGCCTCAACAGGTGCCAATGTGCCAAAGGATTTACTGGAGACTTATGTGAAACAGGTTAGTATTTGTGTTTGTGTTTGTGTGGGTGTGAGTATTTAAGACCTTTATTAGCCTTTACATTAAGAGTCATGCTGTGTGCTACGTCTACAGCTGTGACCACCCCCTGTATACCACCTGCCAACATGGGGCTACCTGCAGTCCTCACAACACCTGTTCCTGTCCTGAGGGCACAGCAGGCCTGCGCTGTGAGAAACTGTGAGTATGAACACTCAAAAGACTTAAACGCTGAGAATCAATAAGAATCGATCAGCAGGTTTTCCACTATCTGCCTTGATTACCCACATATACACATGTGTAATGTCTTCAGAACACTGTAGCTTTTCTTCATGGATTTGAGTGTTTGTGTCTTTCCTAGGACATGCCCTGTGGTCACCACTGTGGTCAGCATGGCTCGGGCAGTGAGAAAGGCCTTTAGGGAAAGTTATGTTGACCGGTGTGGACCCCTTGGAGTTCAGCTTTGCACTAAATACAGGTAACATGTTTCCTTATTTCGTCCCTTAATCTGGATTATACTTAATTATGTTTGTTTCATCTTTTTGAAGAAACAGATTGGTGTTGATTTATTGCAGAGCTGTTTCCTACAAAGTTCAATGGACTTCCGAGGACTTGCTGAGAACCTTCCTACATTCACTTTCTTCTTCACATGAATTTACTGAAATATAAGGCATATTGACATGAATAAAATATACTATGAAAGTATTTGTAAAAAGTAGTTCAAGCTCAATTTGAAACCCTATGTACAAAGCAAATATAAGGTGTTCAATATGAGAATCATGATATATAAATGAGATAGATCCAAGAGGTGAAACTGAAGAGTTACATCTGAGTATAATCATTTATGACAATGCTTTGTCTGCTTCCAGAATAAACCAGGCACGTGTGTACCTGCAAGCCTACAGAGTGGGCTACAAAATCCAGTGTCCACAGAGGAAGGGCAGGTGAAGCATTTGCATCTCACCCTGAGGAAACAACCAACAGACAACATTTGGGAAACATAATAAGGCATGGTGAAGTGTCTGATGTAACTAGGACAGAGATAATATAAGTTTACAACGGGTGCGTCTTGTGATAGTATCTGAAGGAGATTTAGGAGTCCCCTTAGGTGGAATGTTTAAATTGAGGTATTGTATAGGAGTAGTGCCACATGTGGTTGTGTAACGTGATGTTTTATGACCCATGACGAAAAGCGGATGTTTGGATGCATATAAGCAATTGTCTCTGTGTGTTCGAGAGAGATCATTATTGGCTTCTTGATCCTCCTGGTCAGACGTGACCAGTGATTCTGTTTCTTGCTTAAATAAAATTATACTCTTTGAAAGCAAGTCAGTCTCAACGGCGAATTTCTTCATCATCAAACATATCAACACAAGGAAATCCACATCAATTTTGGCGTCACGAACAGGATCAGTTGGGGCCTTCTGCAGGGGACCACAGCTTGTTTATTATTTCCATCACTTCGTAAGTGTTTCTTTCTTTTTTTCTGCACATATTGCGGAGCTGTTTCTGTCGTCTATCGGCAATTTTGGCCGCACTGTCAAAGAACTGAAGTGCAATGATGTGTTGATGTTGGAGTAATTCTCCGTCTAAATTGGGGTTTATTGAGTTAAAAAGTATATAAATAAAGGGGAATAAAATAAAGAAGAGATAAATAAGAGAAGAAGAGATGAATAAAGTTGAAAGGTAATGATAGCATAAGCGCAACTAGTAACGAGACCAGTTAGCTAAATAACCATGCAAGTTTAACAAGGACAGGGCCCGTATCCTCTTAACAGTAAGTCATGTGTAAATTAGACACTGAAGTGAAAGTTGGCTTTAAGAAGTAGTCAAATTTGAGTAAAAATAAAAAAGGGGATCCCTGGCCAGGGTATTTGAATAGATGATAAACGTATAATGTAGGAAAATAAAAGAGAAGAAATAAAGATGAGAAGTGTAAAGATGAGAAGTAAAAAGATGAAAAGTGAAGATAAGGAATAAAGATAAGAGTTTTGAGAAAAGTGGGAAAAAAGCGCTGAGTAAAGGAAAAAGTGTGCATTGAAGCATGCAGTGTGAAGTAATTTGTTAAAAGACAATTTGTTAAAAGTTTGACAGAAGTAAAATTTGATAGAGGAAAATTATAAATGAGTCGACTTCAAAATCTGAACTGAAGTGTGTATGGCTGTTGAAGGGCTCTGTCTATGTCTGTGTCTTGTCTCTTGTGTTGTGATTTGGATGGTTTTGAGAGGTCTGTGTGGTGTGAAGATGTGTATTTGATCCGGAAATGTTCTTGTATATGTGTGATTGACAAATAGAATAGATGTATTAATAAATAGGCATATGTAGCAGGTGATTGGTTAAAAGGCGATTTAGTAACTTATAAGAGGGGACATTTTTGCTTCATCAGTGATAAAAAATATGAGCCTTTGTTTCAGAGGACTTTTACTTATCTGATCTTCATCAGTGTTAAAAACCTATGAGCCCTTTGTTTCAGGGGACTTTATATATTCAATTTGATAAAATCTATGAGCCCCTCAGAGGATGTTTGTTTAATCTGATAAATACACATGAGCCTAATAAAGGACGTTTATACATAGCATAAGTGTATATAGTATCTGTTTTTAAGAAGTGGAGAGACCAGCGAGGATAGTCTGTACCCATTCAGGTAGCAAGATTAGAGAAAAGAACAGAAAAATTCCTGATAAAGTTTAGAACTGCCGGCTGATTGGAGTGTGAACTTTCTTTCTGTCTGTTTGAGCGTATGTGTGTGACCACATTATGCTGCAATTTTGTCTGTTCAAAGAACATTAGTTTGGTTTAAAATAGGTGAAGAGACTATTATACATTTTCTATTTGGCTGTTGATTGGGAGGATACTGTGCTGATTTCTGTGTGTGCATAGACTCTGTGCACAGGGGTGGAGCAGTGATCTTAAAAGTGTGTGTGTTCTGTGCTAGTATATTACCACCCTCTAGGAAATCAACACATTCTGTTTCATTTAATGTCCAATAACTAAGTTTAGCTGAAACATCATATAACAAGACAAAGTTACAAAAGATAATTAGACACTAACTTTATGAACATCCATTGTGAGTAACCCAGTCAGCTCTAGAAACCAGATTCAAAACGGTTCTTTGTGATGCCATTATTTTGCTTTTCTTATTGCCTTACGCCTTAGTCTCTTTATTTCCGGTCTTCACATAAAATGTGCTTTTATTTAGAAAAACTGCAAAGGGGACTTCTGCTACATCGTAAAGTTATGGGAGTAAATACATACAGCTAAAATAACAACCAAGAGGAGAAAATGTTACACTTACGTTGGTTTGTGAGGTGGATTTATCTTAAAAACCTCTGTTTGGGTGACTTACTCTCTTTCAGAAGGATGCTACATGCAGCATGTTTCCATGTGTGAGCTCTGAGCTCTGACTCAGTGATGAGTGACAGGAGGATTAAATGCAAATGTAACCTTACTGTGCTTCAACTGTAATCAAATAGATATGATTGGCTTAGTTGTCACTTAATAAATCTTACTTGATCGATAAGTTTTCTTTTAATGACTCCACTAGTAAAAAGTGTACATTTTAGTGAAAGTAGGGGTGTCACAGCACCCACGGGTGAGATGCGCTGTCTGTGCATTAAATGCACTAGGTTTGGACCATAGGGTTTGGAGACGATGTTAACCCTTTGACAGCCAGGTTAGACTGGAAGCCCTTGCTAAAATTAGGAGGCGGGTCCAAGAGGCGTTGCCTCACATAGAAAGCCAATTAGCTTACTCCTCCTGTTAAGGGAGTGGAGAGGTAGCCCTCTCCTCTTCTTCTCTCTGTGGGACACAGAGGGAAGGAAAACACACCCCAGTAGGGAGACAGCCTTTGCAATAGATAAAAAATATAGATAAAGATTACAGATAATGTGTGCATATTTTACTGAATTGTTATTGCATTGTCTATATGGATTCAGAGTGATTAAACTTTTGTTTTGTTTTCTTTCTGTTTTCTCTGTTTCTCTCTACTATGCTGTGTGAGAGCTAAAGGGAAGACAGACAGATGGATTGTGTCTGAACTGGATCAGTAAAAAGGCAGATGAGGAGATACCTGGGGGTACTTCACAAACACTGGAAGCTTGCGGATGACAGCATGTAGGGATCCTGAATCCAGCTTGATCAAGGCCAGTGCGGTTTTATCCACAAACTCTTTCAACAAACACCTGAACTTTTCTATCTGTGTATACACATTTTTTATAGTCAACATCTTTGATACATGCTTAGTCTGTTTTCGCATAGAGGCTTACATTGTTTCTTCTATGTATCACATTACAATTATATAGGAGGAAGTCTTGGCAACAGACTGACTAATTGAAGCATTTGGTCAATAATGGAGTATTTTTGATTTGATTGATCATTTATGGAAAAGTTGATTTGATTCAAATGCAGTTGAGTGCTGTGAATGCTGGTTTCATTGTCTGAGTATGGTCTAGCTTGACCTGGGCTATTTTGAGATGGAACATTGACATTATTTCCAAAATTTTAAGATAAATAAGTGTGATTAGATGCATTAGGTGATAAAGAAGTGCTTTTGCTTTTATAGTAAGAAGGCTTTGGTCTCCTTTGGGGTTGGCAAATTCATTCACTTTAAAGTGTGGTAACAGTACTTTCTAAACAGTTTGACTTACAATACGAGGAACTAAGAGGGTCATTGTAATGTCAAAGATGGACACCAAAATTACAAAATCAATCACTCCTGTTGATGTAGTACAGAAGACTAATCCTCTTGTTAAAGATATTCCAAAAATATCAGAAAAATGGAGTAAGCGTTGGCCTGACATTGACCAGCCTTGGCCAGTAGAGGGGACTTTGAACCCGGATGTGATCAAAACAATACAGGTACTTGTGTCTATATACAAGGTAAAGCAGAAGAAGGGGAAAAAGGAAAAAGGCGTATGGAGAAAAGACAAACTGAGCTTGGAGTTCTGCAGTTGTTTGAGAATGAAGGACAGAAACTGTTAGAAGCTGCAAATGAAAAAAGAGGCCGCGGTATGCAAGAAATACAGAAAAATGATAAGGCAGTGGGTAAGTTAATGGAGAAGGTTAACACACCCTTCTCACATACTGCCTTAGTAAAGAAGCCCCCCTTATGAGAAGGAAGTGAAGTTTACTGATGTTTACCCCAGCTCCCAGTGATTATACAGAAGGGCAACTATCACATCACAGACGAGGATGAACAAATAATCGAGAAGGGAAAGGCTACAACGACCATAGAAATGTACCCAAGCTCCGACAGCAAACATAAAAAGACCGTTTGAGAAGTTGGAGGGTCAGCAGTTCAGACGACTGGACATAGAGGATGACAGTGAGAGTGATTCGGATGAAGCTGTTGGTGGATATGACCCAGCAGTAAGACGGATGTTGGCTAAAGCGGAGAAAAAAGGAGACAAGCCAATAAGAAGAGTGGATCCAGGAAAGGACGACACAGATGTGAGCAATGATGATGAAGACTCAGAGAGAGAAGGTCCTTCATATCTTCACCCATTAGCAGCCGGTTTAGGGGTGGAAGATGATGGATGCAGCGCTTTAAGAGAGGTGGAGAGAACTATAGATAGATGCCTTGTGAAAATGAATGAATCTACCTGTCCAGCAACCCAGCATGTCTTGGAAAGGCAACTAGAGGAACTGAAAAAAACACGGAAGAAAATACAGAAGAAGTCTCAAAGGTCTGACACTTTGGGTATGAATTACGTCCAAGAAAAGAAAAGAGATTCAATAAAATGTGTCCAGTAATTGTGCGAGGTCAAAATTTAGAGTATAAACCTTGGCAAAGTACAGACATGTCAAACATACTTGAAAATTACCCACTCTTCAAGATGGAGCGCATCCTTGGATTTCGAAGTTGGAAGAGGTTTTGGTGGGAACACAGCCTGCCATGGGAGACATTAAGAGACTCTTGGCTAGCCTCATTGGGTCCCAGCGATGGAGGAAATCCTACAGGCGGCAGGCCTTAATAGATATGTGGCAACTGC